TTTTTTTAAAAAATATGGTCAGCCTGGCCAGCCGGGCTGAGTAATTTTGACAGGTGGGTCGTCCCGAGAGTTTGGCATCGGCCCATATCACTAGTAGAAACACAAATACCCTCTTCAGAAACTAATTTTTTTTGAGCTTGGACAATATTCGAACATTTGCCTGACTTAAAAAACCTGGCTATCTTTCTTTCATGACATTGAGTAAGTATTTTTGGCTGGCCTGGCCTTGGTAAGACATCCAAACCACCTGTTCGTTCTTTCAAATACTTTATTTTTAAGACGGTAGCATGGTTTACTTTTACATGAAAAGTAATTGTGCGACTTGAATAACCCTCCTCAAGAAGGGTAGAAATTCGTTCTCTTGTCATATCAAGAATAGCCCTCATTGTTATAAAAATATTGCAACGTACTACAACTAACTTAATTTGTGAGCTATTTATATATTTTTGGCATAAATACGTCACAATTGCTTAATTTATTTTATTTCATAAATCTGTCATAATTATAGTTCCATAAGAACAATGCATAATTGGAGTTTTTTTAGTAAGCTACAAAAAAAGTACTAACTAAATTTGTTTATATTAAAATTTAAATAAGTAGGTTTATGTTATCTAAATTTGCTATGCATATGACTTATAGAATGTGAGATATCATGATTCAAAGAAAAAAAAAGCAGAACAATAATAATGATAGATACTATATCTTGGTATATGATTGCTGCCTAGAACTAAATATTAGGTTTTTTGATTACAATTAATAATTTTCTATGTTGAAGATCGATATATATTGGTATCTGAGCTTGAAACCATAGTATTATTATTCTAAAACCTGTAATTAAAATCTTATTGTTATTTATTAAAAAATTTTATCTTTATTTCGAAATAATAAATGTAAACGCAAAAATACCGTTTCTGATAGATCATCGGTACTGTTCCTGATAGGGTGGAGAAAAAAATCAATTTACATACCATTCCTGATAGAGTTCTAAAAAAGGGCTTCTAAAATACTATACTACTATAATGAAAAAAGTTGGGATTAGGGTTCGTTTTTAGGACCTTATCAGAAACAGTACTCAAATAAAATTTTTTTTAACTACATCAAGATCAGTATTGCCGATCTATCAGGAATAGTATTTTTGCAATGTAGACATACTCAACTTTATAATTAAAAAAAATTTTTTTGAACAAAATAATATAGAAATTTCTAGAGATAAAAAATATTAATTAGTTTAAAAAGAAATTTTAAAGAAATATCAATATACAGGTTACTCTAGGGTGCAAGAAACCTCTGTAGATCACCCACAAAAAATTTTCCAGCATATGACTAAGCCACTTTACTATGACATATACTAATTTCTACAAGCGATACAATTAACGTTAAAATGATTACCTCAATGTTGACCTCAACATTCACTTGAACGTTCACCTCAATGTTCACCTGAACATTCACCTCAACGTTCACCTCAACATTCACCTGAACGTTCACCTAAACGTTTACTTAAACATTCACCTGAACGTTTACCTGAATGTTCACCTCAATGTTCATCTGAATGTTTACCTGAACGTTCACCTGAATGTTCACCTGAATGTTCACTTCAATGTTCACCTGAATGTTCACCTCAACGTTTACCTGAACGTTCATCTGAACATTCACCTCAATGTTCACCTGAACGTTTATCTCAATGTTCACCTCAACATTCACCTGAACCTTCACCTCAACGTTCACCTGAACGTTTACTTGAATGTTTACCTCAACATTCACCTGAACGTTCACTTCGACATTTACCCGAATGTTCACCTCAATGTTCACCCGAACATTCACCTCAACATTCACATTGTCAAAAAATACTATGTATTTTATTTATATTTAACTTTAAAACTTTTATTCTTATTATAATTATATCGCATATAAAATTATTTAATGTACAATAGAAAAACAAAAAAAATAATGAAAAAATAATGAAAGAACGTCAAAGAAAACACCGAAAAAACATCAAAAAAACACCAAAAGAACAATGAAAAAATACCTAAAGAGAA